CATGTCTGCACACCAGATCTGAACCGGCGAATCCCAGGCCGCCAAAACGGAATGTGAGCACTTAACCACTGCGCCACCGGGCCGACCCCTGTTTTCTTATAGAGAATGTAAACACTTCTTCTGGATCAGATCTCAAAGAACGGTCTCAGTAGTTCACTGTGTCCCAAGAAGACAAAGCAAGGATTTGCGTACAAGTCACATCACACTTTTTAAATAATGCATCCAAACCATGGGAGCTTCCCCAAGCAAGAATGGATGGTCAGAGGCTGTATGAGGATAATGCTCGGAGCCTGAGGAGTTCCAATGAAGATACTCCACCTCAACTCGAGTAAAGGCTAGAAAAGTGATTCCAAACACTGCCTGCTCTAAATCAAACAAACCTCAATTCTAGTAGAACAAAAGCCACTCTGCAAAGAGACAAAGCCATAAATGACAGCCCTGTAAATAAAGACCAAAGCTACCAGCCAAAGGTCGTCTACACATGTACTCGATGCAGAAGTGCCAGGCTTCTTGGTCATGCTGTGGGGAGGCGGTCATCGCCACTCAAGGATTGCCCTGGAACAAGAGTGACCTCCGCCCCCCCCCCCAACCCCCGCCCCAGGAGTCAGTGCCTTTTCCCCAGACTGAGAGCCAGCTTCCCACCACTGCCCCTGCACAGCTTCCAGGCCCAGCTCTCCCCTATTAAATGCAAATTCACTAGACATGGACACTGATAATGAACACAGAGCTTCAGAGCTGGAAGTGACCTAGGCCATCCTCCAGAGTCTAAGGCAACCATCTCCCCATGCAGAGAAGGAGAAATGTCCAGAGTGGGAAGAGAGAGAACACGCCTGGTCTACTTTCTTACCAAAGAAGAAAAAGATCCCGCAACTCAGGCCCTCTGAGACCCTCACAGGCTTTCCATGAAGCAGGGAGGTAATCCCCAGCGTAGCGCTTAGAGGAGATGCTCAAGCCATTTTAAAAATGAATGAATGAATGGGATGGTACCAAGAGTCTCTCTCATTAGCGATGCTTCTCAGGCGCCACAACTAAGAAACCACGTGGAGAGCATTGATCCTCTAAAGAAGAGTCACTGTTCAGAAACACCTGACCTTTGAACAGGGAAGAGTAATTTTTTTTAAACAGGAGTATGAAGGCTGAGGGAGAGGAAAGACAGACAGGAAGTGGGGGTAAAGGAGACACAGCAGAGCTCGGTATGTCCCAAGGGCCCCCACTGCACAGGAGCAGGGAGCACCCAGATGAGAGCAGCCAGAGCCCCTCATGGCTGTGACTGAGTGGACATGTCCCTAGGTCACTGAGCACCCTGGTCCTCTGTGCCACCTCCACACACCCGGGCTCTAGGACTCAAGCCGTGGATTTAGAGGTTCAGAACCTCACCCCTACTCTAGGAGACTCTTTCTTGCCAGGGCCTGGAGCAAACAGGCACCAATGTTTGCTAAATAAATACTAACACATAGAGAGAGTCGGGTTTGCTCTGCAGTCTAGGAGAAAGGCAACTGCTAGATGAGCAATAAATATTTACAGCGCCGTATCAACACCACCACAACAGTAATATTAATGACTACTTTTTATTGAGCTCTGGGCTAAACCCTTTTAGCTAAATCCCCTCATTTGGAACTCCTCACACAACCTTGCAGGTAGCGTTATTATTATTATTCTGTTTTACAGATGAGGAAACAAGCAGGAAGGATTGAATAACTTGCCGTAGGTCATACAACTGGGAAGCGGTGACGGCTGGATTCTGAGCTGGGTCAAAGGATTCCCAAGCTCAGGCTACCAACCTCTATGTCATTGCTGCCTCTGGGCTCGGTGCTCACTGGGACCAGTTATCAAACGCAGTTCCCATTGTGCACGGTTTGGGCCACAATTTATGTAAAGGTGGAATGCATTTTGAAGTGCTAGGAAAAGTACTAACGTGTTCCTAAATGATCAGATGATAAAAATTCGTTTGTTTTCTAAGAATAAAAATGAGAAACACGACTGTTATAGATAGATAGATAGAGATACATGCATACACACATATATATGCTTCTAGACTCTTCTTCCATAATGCAAGGTCTTCAGTGACACTGGGCTGCAAAAGATCTTAGACTGAAGTATTATTTTTAGCTGAGCACAGGGATGGGAATTCAGGAGTAATTTGATTAATAGAATAAAGAAGGCTAAGCTATCTCCTTTTTGTGTTATTAAAACTCTTCTGGCAGCAAATTAATTTTTACTTATCTTAATAAGTAACAAAACACCTACAGGCATGAATACAATTAATCTCCTCGAATGATGCCAACAAACAGACCTGGAAATTCACAAGATACCTAAAGATATCACAAAGAAAAACTTCCCAGGAGACTAATCTAAAAGCAAAGAGAGAAGCAAATTCTAAAATTAAGTGCTTAAGAAAGTATAGGCTCTTCTCTGTAGAGCCAGGGACAAGAATGGACCCCATAAAACTTGTTCTAGTACCTAAAAAGCAAGTTCCTCTGCATTCACAAGACCATAGGTTTTTTTTTTTTTTTACAATGACTGGAACTACAAGGCAAAGGTAACCAATAGATTAAAATCTCTCCAGAGTAGGTTACAAGGATCACCTGGATTCCATGAATGTTGTTTATGAAAAACTAAAACGGCATTCAAACTAATAAGGCAATAAAATACCAAAAATACACCAAATACCTGGGCATCATACTAATTTTTTAAAAATCAGTTTAATAAAAAAAATAAGAAAATAACACATTCACTCACCTGTTCTCTCACTTAATTCTCTCAACATCTTTTTCCCCAGCAAATGAGTAAACTGAGGTTCAGAAAACTTAGAAATTCATCTAAGCTTATACAATTTAAAAAGGAAGTAAATATAATAAAAATAAGTTGTAAAAAGTAAGTACAATTTAAAGTCAGTAACAGAACTGAAATGTGTGGGAATCTACCCTTGCTTAGAAGCGAGAGAAAGAAGGAAGGAAAGAAGGAAAAAGGAGAGAAAGGAAGGCAGACAGACAGACAGGGATAGAAACATTCTACAGTTAGATCAGGTCAGCGCCATCAGTGCTCAGGTCCCAGAGACGGAAATCCAGGTGAAGCATGGAACCAGTGCTGAACCTGCCGTTTTGTTTAGTCATTTGCTTTAACAAATCATTATTTTAAAGCCTCGATCAAAAACAACAACAAAAATCCTCCTAGTTCCATCACTAATTATTTTTCTTAAAATAAAAACCAGATGGAAAGCTTGAAAGAGACCAGAGCTACTCCCACACAGATGGCACTCGTGTTCACTAGGATGAAGCCGCATTAGCCTTGCTTGCCTCTCAAAAACAGACACACAATCACTGAAAGTTACGCAGCACAGCCGGTAGGAAACGGCAAATTGAGAACGCAGTTAAGGTTTCTTACCTAAAATTAGAACAAGAAAGCCTCCACTACCTAATGAAAACTATTAAGAGAATTCAGAGGAGTAACTGCAGGCAGGCAGGCTTCTCCCCCAGAGAGTAATCAGCTAGGAACCATTCGTCATCTTTTGCACAGTATATGCATTTATAATGGGTTTGAATAAGGCCTTCAACAGCAGGCCCAGAATGAATGCCGTTTTAGGTCTAAGACAAAAGTACTCCTGAGACGAAGAAAATTATAACTTCTACTTCACGTTTTGCGTTGTTTCCTCTCTCTATATGCGCTTGTATTTACTATCACTGCAGACTTCATCATACATCATTTTTAGTTTTTGTTCCCCAAAACAGTTAACCTTTGTCCGGAACCTACTGTGTGCCCGGTGATCCTCAAGCACTTCGCCTGTGTTGTCTCACTCAATTCTCAAGGAGCGGAGGCAGAAATTTGAAGGCAATGCAACCAGGCAGATGGGACAGAATCTTTTCTCAGGCCAACAGGGCGGGCAGTTTCCGGGTGGGGAACTCGGCGGAGTCCGGAGCTACCCAAGGTCTCGGAGCCCTGCAGGCTCGGCGCGGACGGGCCGAAGGAGTCGGGTGGGGTGGACCAGGGCTCACTGGGCGGAAACGAGGCCCACGTTCCCCTTACTAGCGCGAGTCAACCACCCTCCCCCGTCCAGCATCCTCGTCCTCCCGCTACAGCTGTCACGGATCTACATTCTGAGCCTCCCCGCCGCTGGGCGCACACTCGCTCGCAGAAGTTGGGCGGACGATTCAAGCTTTTCTTTCACTTGGGGAGAAGTGAGGACTTGGGGGGGGGGGGTTAAAATATTCGCCATTCTCTGCAACACCCCTCCCCCAATAAGTTGCCCCTCCGGAAGTACACAGCGAGGTGACAGCGCTGGGCACCAAACTGGGAAGGGAAGGAGATGGCCTTTAGCAGTGCCAGGGGAGCTGGCGGATACGACCCTACAACCACTGGGTGAAAAAAGTCTCTCTCTTCCCCCTCACTTCTCAACAGGCAGTAAAGCGCACAGAAGACGTCTGGATGGTACCTGCTCCCGCAGCAGGCGCGGTGGAGGCGAGTTCACCCTCCATCCTTCCTGCAGGAGCGGCCAGGTACATTTGGCCTTAAGGTCTTTTTCGGACATGTTGACATCGGCTCCCAAAGGGAACCGCAGCAGAACCTGGTCACGGGAGACTTCCGGAGGGGCGGCAGACACTGCTGGGAAGCCAGCTGCACTTCCCAAGGACGCACAAGCCCTGCCGGGCTTGACCCTCGGAGCTTAACCCCGGACATATGCGCGGAAAGGAGGGAAGAACCCAAACACCTCCTGCGAGTTGCCTCTCGCCCTGGCAGGTGAAGACCCCATGGACCTCTCCACAGCGCTACCTGCCCGGTCAGCGGTACCTCCCCACCCCCGAGGCCACGAAGGCTCCTGGCACCCCCAACCAAATCCCACCCGTCCTGCGGGCTCAGGAGCCCAAGGACGCGGCCAGCTGCTGCCACAGCATCTCGCATCCCGGGAGTCCGCGCGCCCTAGTACAGCCAGGGGACTTGCGGGATCCTACGGGGCGGGGGGCGTGGAAGAGGTCCGGGGGCCCCGGCGCCGCGCACCTCCTTACCTGTCGCTCGCCGGGCCCCGGCTGGGGCATCCGCCGGGTGCGCGCCTCTCCGCACTCTCGCTGCGCACCTGGCCGCCGCCGCCAGCCCAGCCCCAGCCCTGGCCGCGGCTCTAGCGCTTCATGGCGCACGGGGGCTGGCCCGGGGCCCGGGGCAGCGTGTCCAGTTGGCGGCGGCTACTCTGCTCTCGCGGCTCGCCAATGGCTCCCCGCCTTCCCCCGCCCCGCGCCCGCGCGCCCTTCCTCTGCGGCTGCCCTTTTCTCTCCGCTCCCCGGGACCGGCCAAACTGGTTTCTCCGCTCCGGGGTGGTGCCTCCAGTCTCCCACCGGCAGCCACGACTGCTGCGCGCGGTAGAGCTGAAGGGAGAGGGCGGGCCCCGCCGTCCGCCCTCCCCTTGTCCCTCCCCTGGGGCGGAGAGGGGCTGGACAGCTAGCCCCAGGACGGGCAGACACAGTCCAGGTCGAACCCCGCGCCCCACGTGCGCCCCGGCGGCAGGTGGGCACGATGGCCGTGTTCCCCGCCCAGCGCCGCCCGCGACCCAGCAGCTGCGGCGCTCTCGGCTCCCCCGCGCTCCCGCCTCCTTGGGGGCCCCGCTCCCCACCCCGCCCCACCAGCCCCGCCTCACTTTCTCGCCGCCCTCGGCCGGCCTGGCCACCGCCCGGGGGTCGGTGACCGCGCCAGCCTGGAAAGCTGGCGGGGCCGCGTCTCGCTTGGGACCTGAGCTCCCTCAGTAAGGGGAGCAGTACCCTCTCGATGCCAAGTCACGTTCCGGGACGGGTCACCGAATGCGCGTCGCCGGTCGCCGCGCGGAGGATGGGGAAAGAGACGACGCCGAAAGACCTCGAGAAACTTCCTGTAATTGCAGCAAGCAGGCTTTCTGCTGAGACCAAACTCCCCCAGCTTTACGGGTTTGGGGTCAAAAGGAGCCAAAGTGCGGCGTGTGAATGGAGCGGTATACTTGGACATTCTGGACTCGTGTGCCTGATTATTGGCTGTTTTTTGGGCATGTGAATCGCGCCTCCGTGGCAATATATACGTTACACTCATTACGCCCATAACTCTCCTTTCTGCATGATTTTACTGCTCACCTACTATGGACAAGTCGCTGGGATGGAAAGTCAAAGATGAATCAGAGTTTGCTTAAAATGTAGTAGGGGTGGGGCCGCCGGTGGCGCAGCGGTTAAGCTCGCACGTTCTGCTTTAGCCGCTAGGCGATCGTCAGTTCGGATCCTGGGTGCGGATATGACACCGCTTGGCACGCCGTGCTGTGGTAGGTGTCCCACATATAAAGTAGAGGAAGATGGGCACGGACCTTAGCTGAGGGCCACTCTTCCTCAGCGAAAAGAGGATTGACAGCAGATGTTAGCTCAGGGCTAATCTTCCTCAAAAACAAACAAAAAAAATGTAGCAGGGGAGATAAGACTCATAGACAAATATCTAGTTACCTGCAGATCAGAGAGGTTGTTGGCCTGAGAGTTCAGACTCAACTGGGGGCCTAAGGGAGACTTCATTGAGGAGGCCACACTTGAGGTGGGACTCAAAGATTCACACATTCAGGGATCAGAGTTGCATGGACAGGGTATTCAGAGAGTGGTCCACTGCTTTGATCTTCAGGTATATGAAAGATTCAGCTGGATGTTGTTAAACCCAAGACTGCCCTGGGTTTCTTATTCATTAGTGACACTTGATCTTTGACTAGGTGGTGCCGGTCAGTCATGTAATCTCTCTGGGCCTCAGTTTCCTCAAGTATAAAATGAGATTGGACCAGATGATCTCAATTGGTTCCTTCCAGCAGTTAGTTTCTGAACCCAACAACAGAACAAAGAGGCCAGAAAACACAGGGCCTGTTTAGTGACAATGTGGTAAACCACTTGGCTGGTACTGCAGTGGTAATACGCAAAGCTAATGAGTGAGTTAGGGCCTGGAAAACATTGCCCAGAAGAGAGGCTACAGCTGCATTTAACACCCCTGTGTAGACACTGAAGATTTCAAGCTAGGCTGCTTCGCTAACAGATGACAGTGGGTGGGGGGGTAGGGAGGAGGTGTGGACAAAAGGGCATAATGGCTATTGTTTCTAAGACTCATTCAACAAATATTTGAGTGCCTACCATGCACTAGGCACTGTTCTGGTTGCTTGGGCATATCAGTGGACCAATCAGGCAAGTTGTATCTTAAAAGGTGACAAATGCTTTAGAAAACTAAAACAAGACTGTGGGGATGTTGAGGGGAGGGATTGGAGGGGTGGTGAAGGAGCCTTCTAGGGTGCTGTGAAAGTTCTCCATCTTGATCTGGGTGGTGGTTATATGAGTGTATACATATGTAAGAGTTCATCAACCCGTGCACTTAAGATTTGTACACTAAAAAATAATAAAAATAAAGCAAGGTTAAGAAATTAGAAATAGGGGAATGAGTTGCAATTTTCAATAATGCAGTCAGGGTAGGCTTCAAGAGGAGTTGCACTTGAAAAAGACTTGCAAGAAGTTGAAGGAGTTTCATCCAAGGTGAGAGAAATTCTTGGAAAACTCATTTTACCTGTAACCCACCAGAAAAGGGCGTGGTCAAACCTTGTGCTAGTGAGTTTCCCAAACATAGGCCTTCCACACCTTCCTGCTCTACACCCTCCTGGTGGTTGGGAAGGAGACTCAAAGCATGTCAGCTGATGTTGTTGATAAAGGAAGTGGCTCACCCTGGAAGCCTGACCCTTGTCCTCTCTGAGAGAACCGCGCCAAATTTCAGGGAGCCTTGTCAGGTCAGTCCTGGAAAGTGTCTCATGCATGGCACGAGGATGGATTTTGAATGTGTCTTATAGGGGTCACTTGAGCGATGGTTTCTTTGTCTTGGTAGCAGCCCTACACCCCCCAGCCTCAGCCATTCTTTCCCAGCATACCCAGATAGAATCGAACAAGTGCTCTGGTTTTATTTAGAAGCCACTCCTATTCAGTAACCAACATCTTTACCTTGTCAGCTGCTGGAGGAAATAATTAAATTTAACAGCAACAGCCATTTCCAAAAGAGGATGGGAATGCTTTTCAGCTTTTATAGTTCGTAATTTCCTTCAACTATTCTTTTTCTTTACCTTTCTTTTCTTTTCTCCCCCCTTCTTTTGGCAACACTCCTGTGCATGTCCATGATGTGGGTAAGAAAAGCTGAGAAGGTTGCCAAAAGAACTAGCTCAATTTTACTGAAAATTCCTTTCCTATAATTTTTTTTCTGTGAGATAAGAGCTGAGAGATTAAAGATAAGTTTAAAGGGAGGTGATACTGCCTGTATTCAGTTCTTTGTTAAACTCGGTGGTCATTTAAGCTAAAGCATTTAATGCCAATGGAAAGGTATTCATGCCCCACTGGGTGTTACTGTAACCCTGTGCTTGGCCGTCAAGATTAACTCAGTTGGAAGGCAAATTCTTCACAGCCATTGTCTAGAGCAGCTCCAGAATTTTCAACATGATAAGAAGTTACCACTTAGGTGAGACTGTCTTTGCAATAAGTGAAATTAGAAGCTTCGAGTAGTCTGCCCCGCTTTCTTTTAAATGGTATTTAAAACAACAGATACAGATGATGTTGTCCGTTGTCTCTGGCACAAATAATTTTCCAAATTCCTTCTGACTTACTATGCTTTCCACCTCATTTACCACTTAGTGACTTCTTTTTTCTGGCCGTTTTAAATAAAAAATTGGATTCCAAGAGAAACATTAAACATCAGGTAGCTGTGTCTCAGTTATTTTAACCTTATCCCTACTTAACATGCAAGAGATGTTAGAGAAGGTATTATTCCTGGGCATGTTATTAAAATTCACTTCTCTTTCTTTCATATTCATGAGTATGTAAATATATAGGATTAGTCTACGGTTTTTCTTTTCTACAAAGAGGAGATTTTAATAACCTACTATCTATATGGAAATGTAATGAATATTAAATTGAACTGGTGTTGATAATATAATCCCAGATAAACTTAATTCATATAGTTAATTTAGATGTCGAATCAACAGTTTTCCAGAATATCTTGTGATCATTGTTAGTATACGTAGGCATGTTTTCACGTAATTGTAAGAAGTGTGTATGTATTACCTTATGCTTTGTTTTCATCATTTACCATTGTGTCATGAAAACATGGTTACCTTTCCATCTTCATCCCTCATCCCTCATCCTCCACAGCCTAAGTGCCTCCCCCTATTCCAAGCTTCTGATTCACTGAATTCTGAATTGCCCTTGATATGCACTGTGTTTGAAATGTCCTCCTCGTCTGCTGATCTCCAGCTCCAAAGTGACTTTCTCTGGGAAAACCTTGCCCTAGTCTCCCCGAGACAGTAGTACCCAAAGCGTTTTGCACCTAACTTCTAGGGAAGCATTTGTTCCATTGTATTTTAACTGTTTGCCTGTCTCATTCCCCACTGCACTGTGAGCCCTCTGAGACCCAAGACTGGCTCTTCTTCTTTTGGGTCTCTGTTGGCTTAGGACATTGCTCTAGGCCCCTAAGTGCCTATTAATTCTTGTAGAATGAATGAATGGTCTGCATAGTCATCTTCTCAATAGTTGTGCAGTATTTTCTTCTGCTGATGACTTAATCATTTGCTCTTGTTGAATACTTATGCGTTTACCAGATTGACTTCCAGAAATACCTGATCAGCCGCAACCCACATTATTTGAAGGGCTTCAAAACATCTTATTTCTCTCTGGTTCCTATTATTTTGTGGGTTGTGATTTGGCCTTCTTTACTTCATTCTAGAAACAGTGTGCCTCTGGTACAAAAAAAAAGTTTTTGTTTTTTTAGAACTAGGACATGCACAAACCTTTGTTGCTGTCACTGGAGCGATAGAAAGAACGGCATTCAAATCCTTGCATAAATTTATAGCAGCCTATGCTGAGTATGAGCTCTGCCATTTTTATTTCCCTAAACTACCAGCCAGAGAGGAAGAATTCATGAGACACTGGCAACAGTGCTCATCTCTATGGAGGGAGATGGAGCTTTCACATTTATCTTTGGACAATTGAAATTATTTTACTATGTTTCTGTATAATTTTTTAATTTAATTTCTTATTTTGGTCAAAATAAATATTTGGTAATAAATATTTGTAATTTAAAAACTGCAGTGGTACTGCAAAGTTTCTAATGAAGGCAACAATCCCCCACCCTACCACTTCTCCTGCTCACATGCTGTCCCCCAGAGACAGTCATTTTGACTTTTAGTTGGTTCTTGTATTTATTTTCATATTACTAATAACATGCTTATATTGCCATTTGTTGATGTTCTCCTGTCTTATTCATTGTCTGTT